AAGTAAATTTCACAACCTAAGTAAATTTCACACTCAATAAAGTTAACAATAATACAATACCATCTAATACCCAGTCCATATTCAAATTTTCCAAAGTATCCTCAAAATTTCTTTTATAGCTTTTTCAAACCAAGACCCAATCAAGATTTACCCATTGCACTTATTGTTATGTCTTTTGGTCTTTTGTCTTTTAATCTAGGAGTCCCCCACTTTTTTTTCTTTTTCTTTTTTGAGGTGGGGAGGGGCAGAGAGAGAGAGGAAAAGCAAGAATCTTAAGCAGGCTCCCAGCTCAGCGTGGAGCCTGACATGGGACTCAATCTCACAACCCTCAGATCATGACCTGTGCCAAAATCAAGAGTCGAAAGCTTAACCAACTGAGCCACCCAAGCATCCCTCCCCAACTCTTTTTAACAACACCGACCTTTTGAAGAATTTAGGCATTTTCTTATAGAATGTCTCATATTTCGGATCAGATTCTTCCCTCAGGGTCATTTTATCTGTTCCTCCACCTCTATTTCCTATAGACAGAAATTTGGGTCAAAAGGCTTGATTATATTCAGGTTAAGCATTTTTGGCAGAGTTCTTTCATTGGTGATGCTGTTACTTCATGTTGCATCAAATCAAAAGGCCTATAAAGTCAGGTTGTTCACCATTAGTGGTGTTAAGTGTGATCACTAGGTTAATTACTTTATAATTAAGTAATCTGTGAGGTGATACTGTGACACTGCACACATCCCCTTTTCCCTACTTCCTTTTACAAGATAGGTTCTAGCGTCCATTGATGATCTTTGCCTCAATTATTGGGGACTGCACAGATTTTTCCAATTGTATTATTCCATCTATAGGTACTAGCTGGCATTTTCCTACAAAGGAAAAAAAAAACCCTTCCCTCACCCTTGATTTTGAGTATCATTCTAGACTTAGGAACTTTAAAAATGCACTCAGTGCTTCGATCATCTATCACAGTCATTATTCTGTTTAGCCCAACTTGACTCACATTTGGCCAGAGGAGTTGAACTTGATTCTGTGAGCTTTTTGACTTGATCCTATTAGTTTTGGGGTACTTCCTGGCTTTCTGGCAAGGTGTTCTAGGCTCACCTTTGTACTTTTGTATTTTCTGGGCCCGAGACCTGAAAACAACCACTTCTCCAAGAAGTGCTGTTTCTTTTGTGGAGAAAGGGATCTAGATATCAAGATATGAGCACCCTCCATTGGGAGAAATTATAATATATACTTCTAAGAAATATATACAAAAACAGCTCTAATTCAAATTTAACATCAGAGGGCTTCCCCCGTAAACCTTCTTTTATTTTATATTTTTCATTTCTTTTCTCTTAGATTGCTAACATATATGATTTACTTTATAGTAGAATAGAAAGTTTCAAAATTGCAGTGCCAATAGTACTATTATAATAAATCTGTGACATCTGAGTTTTTGTTTTGGTTCTTTTTGCCCTCAGAGTATATCCCACTAAGAACATATGTAAGACTATTATTAAACACCATTTTCAAATATGTCTAAAGAATTTTGAATGACTGCCATTTCTGATCCTTGTAAAGCCTTAGGTTTAATCTTTTTCAAACTGAAGGAATCCTGTTTTCTCTTTTTGGTGGCATGTTTTCAGTTCTTTAGTGGTACATGTAAAACACAGGAATAGCTGAAAATGCACATCCTAAGATAAGCAAGGCAGTGCAAATATAAGTGAACAAACCAGAATTGCTATGACTGATGAGCACCTGCATTGGTCAGCATCCATTTAAGGGTGTTTTTCTGTCACCTTTAAATGAATGAAGGCACCTAAGAATCACCTCAGGGTATATTTTCAATGCACTGTGTGCAAAAACACTCAATAAGTACAAAAAGCCAGTAGCCTGCCCTGCAGCAACTCTCCATGCAAACATTCAAAACACCTATTATGACTAGAGGGCAAAGGCACAAGCAGTTATTATGACTATGTACACATCTCTAATTCATCATCTTAGGCATTTGTCAAGATTGCAAAAAATGTGGGCAAATCTGGTGCTACTTTTAGTCAGGAAGGGAGGTAATAAAAGCTAAACTAAAGAATGAAATCTCATGGAGCACCTGGGTGCCTCAATCAGTTGAGTATCTGACTCTTGATTTCGGCTCAGGTCAGGGTCTTGAGATCAAGCCCCGAGTCAGGCTCTACACTCAGTGGAGTCTGCTTGTCCCTCTCCCTCTGCTCTTCCCACCGCCTCCCCTCGCATTCTCACTCTCTTAAATAAATAAAATCTTAAAAAAAAAAAAGAATGCAATCTGTCATTTAACCAATAGTTTGTCACATACTCTTGTGCTCTGCAGTGGGCTGGCACATTTCCAAAGGCAGCTGCTATATTTTAATTTTCTTCAATGAAAGGAAATGGCTGTATATTCTAATGACAGTTTGTGGAGTCTTCAAATGTTATTTTACCTACTAGGTTTCAATAAAATAAATACCAGGTTTAAAGAACTAGAGGTTTTAAGATACTGCTCTTTTTGAAGAATAAGCATGATCAAATTTGAATGAGAGTGTTTTAAGAAAAATTAGACACTGAAAGTAGATTTTCACACTTCAGTGGAGGTGGTAAGTCTGAACACTTATTTGAAGTATCACTGTTGGTCAAAGTTTATACTTGCTCCAATTTTGTCTCTAACAGCTATTGAACCACTGTGAAAATTAAATGAGTACATGTAAAGTGCTTAGAATGGCGCCTGGTATATACAACTGTTATTTTTTTTTTTTATAGATTTTATTTATTTATTTGAGAGAGAGAATGAGACAGAGAGCATGAGAGAGGGGAGGGTCAGAGAGAGAAGCAGACTCCCCGCTGAGCAGGGAGCCCAATGCGGGACTCGATCCCAGGACCCTGGGATCATGACCTGAGCCGAAGGCAGTAGCTTAACCAACTGAGCCACCCAGGCGCCCTACAACTGTTATTTCTTTATGAGAATTAAAATTAAAACTATATTGCTTTTTTCCCCACCAAATACAAACTATGTTGTACAGAGGAGTGAGAGATTAAAAGCAATCCTGAAAACAAAAGCTATCAAGATGATATAGAAATCCATACATGAGGGCACCTGGGTGGCTCAGACGGTTAAGCATCTGCCTTCGGCTCAGGTCATGATCCCAGGATTCTGGGATCGAGTCCCGCATCGGGCTCCCTGCTCCTTGGGAGCCTGCTTCTCCCTCTGCTTCTCTCTCTGTCTCTCATGAATAAATAAAATCTTTAAAAAAAAAAAAAAAGAAATCCATACATGAGCTTATAATAAATATTTTCCTATTTTCTGATCTGGAGGTGGTTCATTAAGAGTTCTCCTATTTGAGGGGTGCTCAGTCAGAAGAGCATGCAATTCTTGATCTCAGGGTTGTTGAGTTCAGCCCCACACTGGGTGTAGAGATTACTGAAATAAATAAAACAAAGAGTTCTCTTAATTGAAAGACTTTTACACAACTGTAAAGTTTACTTTATATTCAAGGAAGATCCTCCTGGCATTAGTTCTTCATACACAATTGGAGTAAGTGCAGTTTTTTAAAACCACACTGTATTTTAAACAAATTTCTATTATGTTAAGGAAATACATCCTTTCTGGTCTGTCTTTTCTCTTAATTCTAGCTACACACTGCTGCCCTCTGCATTTCAGTTCTTCCAAATTGCCACCCCAATTATCACAAACCTAGTTTCCATCTCTATAGGTTATCTGACTCAATGAGAGGGATATGTCTGTGTATGTAGAGAAGAAAAGGGAAGGCCCCTTCAAAAAAGCAAGAAGGCACTAGAGCAAGATGTTGTCACAGTCCAAAAGAGCCCATCTGAGAGGAGGGCCTTAAGGGTCCTGCAACAGACCCCAATCCCCCAGAGAAGGTTCTTTCCTGGCATTTATATAGCCTCTTTGTATCACAGGATTTTATATATATTTTTTAATATTTTATTTATTTGACAGAGAGATTTAGCGAGAGCAGGAACAGAAACAGGGGGAGTGGGACAGGGCGAAGCAGGCTTCCCGCGGAGCAGGGAACCCGATCCGGGGCTCGATTCCAGGACCCCGGGATCATGACCTGAGCCGAAGGCAGACGCTTAAGGACTGAGCCACCTAGGCGCCCTGGATTTTATATTTTTAACTGGAAAAAATGATACACGTATGGAAAAAATTTAGAAAGGGTAAACAGCGAAAAATATAATCAGTGAAAACATTTGGCTTCTATTCCAAATCTCTCGATAGGTTTATGTATATATACAGTATATATTATTAAAAACATACATTTCTTTCTAAACGTAAATGGAAGTATCCACATCACTGCTTATCATTCAAGACAATAACTTGGAGACTGTTCCCTTTCAGGCGAGATTAACCTATATAATTTACTTTATTAAAACCAAGCAGGTTCTAACAAAATGTTTTAAATAAATCAACCTTCTCTTCAACAGGTTCTGCCACAATTAGCTTTTTATTGCTACCAAGGCTTTTATTATATAAAGCGATGGCTCTAAAACTTGAACCGATATTGGTTATCACCTGGAGCGCTTTAAAACAGGTTGCTGAGCCACCTCGAGTTTCGGATTCAGAAGGTCTGGAGTGGGTGCTGAGAATTTGGCACTCGTAATAAATTACCAGGCGATGGTGACGCAGGGGTTGCGTGGACCACATTTTCCGAACGAACCACTATGATGCACGCCGCATTAAACTCCGTTCCTCCCACCTCCCAGCACCGCTCGTCTAAGAAGGCACACGCGATTACTCCCTGGGGAACTTCAGGACAGGTCCAACAACACCCACTCCTAAAGAAGTCAAACACCCTGCACTCGCAGCAGAAACTGGGATAAGACAAACCTACATCCGGCGTCTGGCGCAACCTAGCTACGCCATTTCCTTTCTATGAAGCTCCGCCCACTCCGCGTCCCTAACGCAAGGCTGGGCAGCCCAGAGAAAGCTGGGAATCACGTGGGTAGGGCGGCGTCTCGCGAGGCTTTTAATCTCTCGCGAGACTTGAACCGCTTCTGTCTTTTCCTCCTTCCACTGCCCGGCTTTCTTCCCCTCCCCCACATTGCCGACTAAGTTCTCGCGTTTCGGACGGAGTCGCCTTGTTGTTGCCGCGGAGATTTCTGCTGCTGCTGCTGCTGCCACTGTCGCCGCCGCCACCACTGGGCTCATTTGCCCCGACCCCTTCCTGCCGCCTTGCCCCCAGCCCCACACAAGGTAACGAAGCCGGCGAGGGAGAGAGCAGGGCCTCGCCGGGCCTCGGCCTCTCCCTGGTTGAAGCGGAGGCCTGAGGCCGAGGAGCGGGCCGCCTTGGAGAGGCCTGGGCGCCGGCAAGAGTCTCAGGGGCCCGGCCTCCTCTGCCACCCAGAGTTGGGCCCTGAGCGGCCCCGGACGGGGCTGGGACCTCCGTGCGGTGGCGACGACCGGGGCTAACCCAGGAAACCGGTCGGGTGGGGTAGGGATGGCGAGGCCTCTTGAGGAAGCCCTCAGCAGTCCCCTGCGGAGCGCGTTTGGGGGTGTGAGGCTCCGGCACTGCTGGGGTCCTCTCCGTTTGTGTTTTCCGTTTCCCTGGAGCTTGTGTTTGAATTTCGAGGTCTGAAATAATCGACCAGTTGTGGCGGGCTTTGAGGTGTTGGGTGCCTGGCTTGCTCTAGCTTTGGAGCCCTTTCAAATTCCAGGCTGTGGTTGGACGGGAATTGTAAGACAGAGAAGGGTCCTCGGAAACCCCGCGTGTTTGCTTTATAAATCGAGAAAGGATTCTTGTATCTTATTTTCCGGAGGAGAATGAGCCAGATTGGGTGAAAGGCACGCTCCTTACAATGCCTAAATGGGATAGGGTTTGTGCCGTTTTCTTTAATGAAGACGCTGCATCGGCAATATTTAAGTGGCCGGGTGAAACATTTTTGCTCTGGAGAAGAGGTTCCGAACACACTTACTGATTAATAGCTCACGTAGAGAGTATTATTTATGTAGTTAATCCAAAAGCCATTTATATTTTGTTTTGGAAGTATTCTTTAGTGCTTAAAAGTAGTTTTTTTCTTAATTCTCGACTCTTCCAACAGATTAGTGCGCCCCCCCCCCCCCCGGCTGGCGAAGATGTAACAACCCTGTTAATTGAGCCAAATACAGTTTCTTCCCTGTTTACAGGAGTTTAAAGAAAATTAGAAATTATCCTTTTTCCTTTTGTCTTAGCTCTTGTCCGATAAATTCCACACAGAAACAAAACAAGTTTATAATCTGCGGAATCCATTCCCTTGAAGCTTGGATTTGACGCACAGCTTTTCTCAGAACTAAGAGTAAAGGTAATGGTATTAAATTAAGCTGCAGCAATGAATTATATTAAGGAGTTGGGAGCAAAACTGGTAAGGATTAAGTCAGGCAGACAGGGAAATTATTTTTTATGGTGTTTTTGGTTCAGTTTTCATGGTCTTACCTTTTTTATTTTCCCCAGATGTCAGAGGATCTAGCAAAGCAGCTGGCAAGCTACAAAGCTCAACTCCAGCAAGTTGAAGCTGCATTGTCTGGAAATGGAGAAAATGAAGATTTGCTAAAATTAAAGAAAGATTTACAAGTAAGTATAAGAGGACACTAATAGTTACATTGCTTAGAAAAAGTATTTCTTTGGTTTTCAAATGATTTATTGCTTAGGATCCAAAGCACCATTTGGAGGGGAGTGTTTCTTCCACTATCCTCCCTTGTGTGTACATGTGTATATGCACATGTACATGGCTCACAGAGGTAGGGTTGCTTCCTCAGTTGTATACATCAAAATGAGTAAAGCATTGTTCTTATGTAAATCTTGTCTCCATATAATTTTTAAAAATAAGAGTTGAATTTAGAAGTCTCTGTCAAACCTTCTAGAGAATAGGTACATACAACTTTACAGTGCAAAGTGCTTTTATTTTTAAAGATCTGGCAAAGGAAATTTAGTTTGAGAGGTAACCAAAAGGAGAAAAATACATGGAATTTAAAAAGTTAACTATGCTGGTATTTAAAAAAAACAAATGTGGAAGCATTTTATAAGTGATGAAAACAATGAGAAAAATACAATCTGATTAAGATTCTTTTTAATGTCACAAGATTCTTTGAAAATGAGTGTGTGTGTGCTTCAAAGCTAGCAGGTAAACACCTTGTATTGAAAAACACATTATAAAGATATATAAAGGGATACTTGTTTTCTGCATAAGTGTTACGTAATGTTTGAATTTAAGGCTAGATTTTACATTGTAGTTATTGATACTTGTTGAAGTTAAATTGAATGGATGTGGAAAGGAGATCTTAATTTGCTTTGTCATGGGAAAGTTCAGTAGGTATGAAACTTGCCTTTTTAAAACCTGCACTGGGGTTTCAAGACAAGCATAAAACCATTATAGTAAATATCTGTTGTTTCTCAGAACATGAGGTTGATTAATAAAAATACTGTATATATATACATATATATCACTTCATTGTAATAAATTTGAGAGCTTAAAATTTTGAGCCTGATTTTTTTGAAAGTTTTAAAAGGTGTTTTGATTTGATGGTCTTTCTTTACTGATTTAGTATAAAACTAGAATCATCTTTATCCTGTCTAAATCCTTTTCCTCCCTTTATTATTCTCTTGCCCATTAAAATTAATATTTTAGGGATATTAGAACTGTAAATAAATGAAACTTATTTGAAATGGGGTCCAGATACAAGGACTTTGAAAGAGTTTATCTGGGCATAATTAAAATTAGTTGAATATTTTCAGGTTCAAATTGGAATTAGGATAAACTTGCCTGAAGTTGCAATAGTATGTAATTTTTAAAAACACAGAATATGGGACCCCTCTTCAGTATGTAAAAGTCAGGCCAGTGAATTTGAGAGTGCTAGTCAATACTAAAGATTTGTTTGGGGAGCAATTTCTCCCACCCCCAGGCCAACTTTCTGTTTACCTCAAAGAGAGATTCTGGCATGCATCTTCTTTTACCAGCTTAAAAGTGGTCCTTTTTTTTCTTTGAAGAAAATAAAACATTGTTGGTATTATGTATATTGCTTCCTGGGCAGTTGGAAGAAGCTTATGTGTGGAACTGGTAGAGGGGAAGTTGGGAGTGAAGGTTGAAACTCAACATTATTATGAGGTTTTTTTTTTTTTAATATTTCTAGAATAAACTGTCAAGAGTCTAGGCAGAATTGCCTTACTATGACATGATCTATAGTGGAAGTATTGTAGGGAGAGAGACTGTTGTGGTAGGTATTGTAATAAGCACATAAATGGCTTACTTAGTGTTCAGTTAATAATGACCTGGGGGTCATTTATCTGTAAGTATCCTCTTTTCTATAACCATTTAGAACTGCATTGTCCAGTAGAACTTTGTGTCATGATGAAAGTGTTTTATATTTACTGTGTCGTACTGTAGCTACTAGGGACTACTGAATATTTGAAATATGGCTAGGGTAGCTGAAGAACTGAATTTTTAATTTTTTTTAAGTAGCCACTTGTGACTACTATATTGGATAGCACAGATTTAGAAGCTTAAGTTCTAAAACTTCAGATAGTAGTAATGCAGAATGTTTTTCCTGACCAATCTTGATCACGGTTTCTTTTCCTCTTTGTCATGAAAACAAATTTTTCATTTCGGTTTGCTAGATACAGGTCTATTTTGAACTGAAAATTACTCAAAGATAGAAGACATCATTGAAGATTAGATAAAGTTTTGAAAAGTGTTTGGGTGTCTGCTTCCACCTAGTAATTGTTGTCTCCATTGATTACAGTTATATCTTGTTTTATCATGGATTTTTAAAAAATATTTTTCCTTTTTATCTCTTCTCTGTTTCTGGGATATATACCTCATGCCTTTGATATTTAATTCTGCCTTTTATATTTGCTGAAAATTTGTTCAGACTAATGACTGAGTTTGTGGCCTCCTTTGTTTTGTGTTCCTTTAGTGGAATGTATTTACCCTGGTTATGAATTTGTTTGCCCTTTCATTTATGACAAAATGCTTTTCTGCATTTTTTTTCAGTGACTTCATTTTGCCAGTAAGGCTTTCATGTTTATCTTTTTTATGTACTGTCTTTCACATAAAGTTACTCAGCAGGCAGCATATTAATCTACTGAAGCCCTAATTGCCTCTTTTCACTTAAAAAAGTGGGTATAGTAAGATCTAGGCTAGCTACCCAACTAGCTCCCCAGGCAGTCTGTGATAATCACAAAAATAGTCAATTTATTAGGCTGTTTTGCTGAATAAACTGGTTCTAAAGGAGGCAGGGGTCAAGTCACTTGTCTCATATATTACAGTGGCTCTCTGCATCCCCGAAACGCCTTCCTTCAGTAAGCAGAGTGCTTGAGTGCACCCTTTGACCTGCTGATATGTAGATCACAACATCTGATGCTTCCTGGAATTGCCGATTACTGTAACTGCTGCCCATCTGTCGATGAAGGAGCAGTTTCAGAACTCAGACTTGGGGGAGGAAAAGTAATTAATGGTATGTACCTTTAAGAACCCCCTCATACATAAAATAGTTTCTCTAATACTTTGGTCCGTATGCACATGTAAAGAAAACATTGAGAAGGGTCTTCATAGTTTGTTGGGAGGGGTATGTGAAACATGGCAAAATGAACGGACAACTAGGGATAAATGCTTTTGATTTTTTTTAAAGTGTCACTTCAGTGCTGGGCTCTGAAAATTGTAACATGCACAGCTTTTCAGGACCCTTTGTTAAAAATGTATTTCTTTATGAAAATAAAATGGTAAGATGCTCTATGCTAAGAGAGGTAGAGTTCTAAATCTGAGACCTACAAATACAGAAATCATGTTTGTGCTTTAGTTAAATGAAATTATTTAATGATAGGGATTATATTGGCTCTTGAGTCAGGCTTACTGGATTATATTCTTGGCCCTAATAGTGGTTGATTAAAAACAAGACTGGATAATTCTCTCCTTCTTTGTAATAGTACATGATCTATTTATGTGGAAGTTCTTTGCTTTATTTGCAAAGGATTGTCTAATTAAAAGGTATTTAAATGGCTCTTTGGCACCTAATAAAATCTCATTAAAGATACTACTCTACTGAATTTTTAACTCAAATCTGAGTTAGTCTAGTTTTTTAATTCACAAAACTGGCCTTTCTCCCAATGGCTTAATATTTCTTTTTTTTTTTTTTGAAGGCTCAAATATTAGTTTTTCAGAAATAGCCATGAAGATCTAGAATCTTTAGGGGAAAGGTAATATATAATTTCTTGGCTACTGAACCAAAACTATTATAAAACTTCAACAGGAGCCATAAGAAACTCAGTATAAAGTTTAACTTTGCTAAGTTTTCTCCCAAAACACAGTGTGATGTTTTAAGGTATTTTATATGCAACAGTGGGGGCAGGTATGCAAGTTTTTAAAATAAATCAGATAAGGTGATGCATTACATAGGTCTTCATCAGAGTAAAAATATAGCAGATCGGTAGCACAATCTATCAGTTCGTTCGTACTATTAAGTTTTTTAACCATCCCTACCAAATACCCTTGAATGAAGCCAGTAAGTATCAACATGATAGAGAAAAAATACTTGCCACACAGGAAGGTATTGCCTGCCTGTGTGTTACATTTATTTTATTTTTTCCTTTTAAATGAAGCTGTGCTAATGTGCTTTTTAGAATATTTTATTTATTATTATTATTTTTTAAGATTTTATTTATTTATTTGTCATACAAAGAGATAGAGAACACAAGCAGTGGGGAGCGGCAGGCAGAGGGAGAGGGAGAAGCAGGCTCCCCACCGAGCAGGGAGCCCGATGTGGGACTCGATCCCAGGACCCTGGAATCATGACCCGAGCCGAAGGCAGATGCTTAACCTACTGAGCCACCCAGGCGTCCCTGCTTTTTAGAATATTTTAAATCTAACTTGGTAATCTGCTTACCTGGATGGGGTAAGTTTTATAATAAATGAATAGGAAGACTACTGGCTTTTTATATGGGCCTATAGTATTTTAGTAGAAGTATGTATGAACAGGAACATTTTTATTACTAATAAGGCTGCTTCAAGAGGTTTGGGTTTTGTTTTGGTTTGTTTTTTTTGACAGGGGTGGAGAAGAACATGTTGGCTAGAGAGTTCATACTTCTGCCAAGTAATGCCCTGTAAAACAGTCCAGGTGCATGAAATATATGTGACAAGATGTGAGATAAAAGTGATCTTGAACCTAGTTTAGTCCTTCATAATTGACTATTTCTCATATTAGATCTATGTAGCTAAAATAGGCACTTAGAAATAATGCATGGTAAGGGCACCTTGCTGGCTCAGTCAGTAGAGCAAGTGACTCCTGATTTCAGAGCCGGGAGTTCAGGCCCCACATTGGGTGTAGAGCTTAGTTGAAAAAAGGAATCATGCATGGTATAAGCTCAAGTCTACCCTTTTTTGTTAGTATTTGAGGTTAATAAATTGAAAGGCAACTGTCCGGGTTTAAATCCCAGTTCCACCACTGTATAAAATACTGTATCTTAGTTTCTTTGTGAGGATAATCACAGTACCTACATCATAGTATTGTTATGAACTACAAATAAGTATGTGTAGTGTACTTAATAAATGGTATATGGTGTGAGAGCTATCATCATCAAAACCTGAAAACCTGTTGAAAGTAGGTGATAAGCGAATTATAAAAGTAATGTTATGGTTTTTGTTTTTTCTTTTTAGGAAGTTATAGAACTAACCAAAGACCTTCTGTCAACTCAGCCTTCAGAAACTCTTGCAAGTTCAGACAGTTTTGCTTCTACTCAGCCCACTCATTC